CCAGGCTGTGCAGAGGTCAGCTGGCCTCAGAAGGTGCCTTATGCTTTGACACCAGGGTGCCAGAGGGAATCTGGGGCTATTGGCCACCAGCATTGGTAGTATCTCTGCTTTTGCTCTTGCGTATTCTGTACAAAACTTTGTGCATAAAGAAGTGTATTTGAAACCATTCACTCTTTGTTAGAGTCTGATTGTTGTGACACCTGTGTATATAAAGCCAAACATTTTCTCTCTCGAGTAAAATATTGTTAATTTTTGGCTCAGTCAAACTGAATGAATGGAAAGGATATATATTATAACGCGTAAAAAATGGAAAGGGAAAAATGCTCAGAGATAGGAAACTGATTGATGTACAGACATATAGAAAATAACTTCATTCAATTGTATGGGGAATCTGTCAGGCAGAAATCTCTCTTATCCTAATAGGGAGTGAAATTGCAATTCTTTAGAAATCTGATACAGAAGATTTGCAGATTCATTTCGAAACTGCATAGTGCAACTGTAACCCTTAATTGTTTTCACAGATCTGAAGAGTTATATTTGGACTACCTAGCCCAGATGGAAAAAGTAAGACCTCACAGAACCCTCTTATGTGCCTAAAGTGGCACTCAGGCATCTCAGTCTGTGATCTGCTCTTGGATCTGTGAAACTTATGTTATCTAATTTTGGCCAGTGAAGTTCTCTTAACGTTTGCAATTCTGTGACTGCATTTCCCCACAAGGGCTGTCACCTTGTCAGTTACCTTATTGCCTAAATGTTTGGCAGATATTTTATTCAATGTCAAACGTACATCAAGAAGTCAAGGCCAGACCCTGGCACCTGCACCAGCTCAGATATAGTGCAGAGCTCTGCAATTCTGTCTGCTACACTGGTTTTGTTCTCCAGCTTTATGCAACTTATCCATGCAGGATCCTGCTGCCATGGGAGGATGGGAGAGTCCTTCCCATCTCAGTCTGGCCAGTGTTCAGAGCAATCCCTTGGGAGATATGGTTCAGGCTGTATGCATGCTGAAGGTGACGTAAGAGCCATGTTTGATCCTTTGGCTTTTGCTATAACTCTTTTTGCATTGGTTTCTAGCCTAGAGGAAAGAGAGTTGATAACCTCCCATCAGCCCTACACAAAAGAACGGCTCTCAACTAAGAGTGAAGGTGCAAGTGTATAAGTGTGAATTCAGTGAGAACTAGCTTTTCTTTAAAAAAATAAACAGAGTTGGCAACATTATCCTCTTCTCCAGAACTGTTTTTAGAAGAGATATCTGGATGAATCTTATGTGTGAAAGATGACTTTGGTCTACAAAAGAAATGTGATTGTGGACACACTTCTTGCTTAGTATTTTGACTAGCTAGCTCAGGAAGTATTAGGTGAATCCCATTCCAAGGTGCTCAACTTCCCCTCATGTTACATAGGCAGCCCACATGCTCATGAAGCCCACAAATTCTGTTTCAATAAACCTCAGTGCTTTTTAGCCTTTGTGATTAAAAACTAAGATCTGCAAACTGTGAAAGGGAAGACAGACTAAAGACATCAAAAACAAATGCTTCAAAGTTGTGTGGGTTGTTTTTTCTTTTTTTTTTTTTTTTTCTTTGAAAGAGATGTAGACGACATTGATATTCCATGGAAAAAAAAAATGTGTTGATATCTTTCAGTTGGCAATTTTAAACCAATTCTTCCACTGCCTGGAACTGGATAGGTGACACTGATATGCAGAAATATATTTGAGAAGCAATTTCAGTAAGTAGATAGAAATGGAATTGTATCAGGCTCAGAACAGGCTGGCATTCCCACACCACTTGTCATCAGGAGCATCCACTCAGGCTTTTGATGTCTCCAATGTTTATTCAATGCACTTGACACTTTAAAATCTAGTTTAGTGTAATTTTGCTTTTGATGGGGTCTTTTAACATATGCAGCAACAGACTGAGGGAGGACAATTTCAAAATAAAAGATGTTCACTCATCAAAAGCTGCTGTAGTATTCCGAAGCGTTACAGTGGTACTCTAGTTCCTAATACAAATCATTTGTGCACAATATACAAGAGGAGATTTCCAAAGACTACTGATCAGTGCAGTGATGGACTGCATACAGTAAGTGCAGACTGAAACACTGTCAGATAAGCGTGGGGTTCTCTTTGAAACACCTGTACTAAAGCTGGGTTTAAAAACAGGTGTTTTGTATCAGTCATGGGAAAAAACAGTTGAAGTGTGTTGAAGCTCCCAGTATTTGGTCAGAACAGATCTAACTGGTTTCTTATTCTACCCAAAGAAAGACACTGAATTATGTGAAATATATTATGGGCTGGCATGAGCATTTCACCCCGTTTACTTGAAAGCAGTGGTTTGTGTGGAGCCCTGGGGCCAAGGCTCCCTTGGCTGCTAACTGAAGCACCGCCTGGCTCTGCTGCATAGCAAAGGTGAGGCAGGGGAGCTGCTTCTCAGGGCACTAGAAAGTGGTTGTCAGTAAACTCTGCCTCTGACTCCTGACATCCTGTCAGAAATATGAGGTGTTACTGGGATTGCTGAAATGGGAAAAAAATTGAGTGGGGGAGCTTTATGAACTTTTTGAAAGCTCCTCAGGCCCTCTTCTTTCATCATCCTGCTGAGCTGCTGAAGTAGGATGTTGATGGTGGGGCCAGACTTACAGGATCAAGCTAACTGAGGAGAACTTTTAAGAACCTTCAAAAAGACATATATCATTCTGTATTTGGACTTAGAGATATTGGAGAGTCACAGCTAGGGAGGAAATCTCCATTGCACTACCCAGCAAGGCTAAAGCTAACACACTCAAACAAGGCTGTATGGTGGTGATAACAGTAAACTGATTTGTACTTAAATTGCAATGAATAAAAATAGGGAAAAGGAGAATTTGCAGAAATGCTCATCCAATATAGGCTTTTTTCCTACATCAAATACTGCTTTTGCTGACTTTGTGAATGTGTTCCCAATGCAGTCAGAGAGCAAAAATGCCTATGACAGGGAAGGAAGCCTTACTCAGTAGACAAGAGCAAGGGGTGACCCTGTCCAGCCGTATTTCATAGAAGAGGAGTTCCCTTTTGCCCTTTCCACAGGGCGAAGTGGAAAAACCAGGTATCTCTGTGCATGTGTTGTCAAAAGAGTAAAGCAAAGCTGGAACTCAGAAACCTAAGTCACTCTTAAGGAACCAGTCACTGTCTACTCTTCCTTCTGAGTTCAGTCAAATTGTCGAGGAAGAGGGAGTGAGAAGTAGAGAAAACAGGTGTGAAGGAAAAGGGATAACTAGGAAGAAGATATACACATAGAGAAAAGAGAGAACTTCAAGAAGAGAGCAAAAGAGAACTATAGATTGTTGAAATGTCTGAGGAAAGAAAGTATGAGATATAGGAAGAAAGGGGGAAAATTTCAGGGAAAAGTACATATACATAGGAAATAGGTTCAATAAGAAATGTCTTTGAACTATTTTAAAAATATTTCCTCCATATTCTAATTATCTCCTTTTAATGGAGAAGCTAAGAATATACTGCTGTACAGGTAAGAAACCTCTGCAAGATTTCTCTGTTTTTTCAAGTGAGCTTACTCGCTTTAAGCGGTGCTTTTCCTAAAGCTGATCTTGTTCAATTTGAGTCAGTCAGCATATCAACTTAGAAATAAAATTTGGGTAGATTCCCAAATGGGGAAATATGAAATACTGTCTGTCATAAAGGAAGGAAAAGGGGCCCAGCACATGGTACATGTGTGTCCATCTGTGTATGTATATGATATACACAGAAAAATACTTTTATTTAGAAAATTGCCCCTTTTCACCTCACCCTCCCTTGTAAACCTTTCCATTTATAATGTGCTTGTCCAGTTCATGCTGGTTTTCACAGCTTTCTGAAATTCTGTAGGAGTTGTTGCAGAGAGTCTTCAAACCAGTGACAACATAACATACTATGTTATACAAAGTTGTGCTCTCACACCGGTTGCCTGGGTTTTTGTCTCTCTCTTTGCTATGGTGTTATTGCTAAGATAATCCATGGATCAATATAATGATAAAACATAGTGTTCAAGTCAGAAATCATAATGGAAATCTGGTAATGATGGAAAAGAAGAGATATTGCCATATGATGTTAAGGAACCATGTGAAGGAGGATATCTTTTTTCTGCAACCACACTAATATATCTAAACTAAAGTACGTTTTGAATAGAAAGGAAGACTTGGATATCACACCCTTGTCCCTAGAGATTAATTCATAGATAACTTGCAATCTTCGATTGGAAATGTTTTACTTTTTTCTTCAACTTTTCTACTGGTAGCAACTGGACTTAACATTTCACTGTGGTAATACAGGAAATACTGAACTTATTTGGAAATGACTAGGCACTGGCTAATGTTTAATTGTAACTTTTAAGGCTAAAAAATCAAGGTAAAATTATTTAATTGCCAAGTCTGATTGTTTTAAGAATCAAAGAAAAATCACCTCAAAACACGAAAAAGGGATACTTTTAATTTTTCTTCTTCCAAGTCTGTAATACATGGGTTTAAGTGATGTTTTATAATCCTATATGAACTGTCTGTGCTGCAGAAGGAATCCATAGCTATAGTGAATCATAGGGATTTCCTTAATGCACTCTGATATGAGGCATTGAAGCCATTAGCGTGGGGCAAGGAGATTAATGGAAAGCTGGGCTTTCTGGGCTATAGCTGAAGTGTAGGCGGCATACTCTAGAATATGTGAAAGCACCCACTAAAGCACTGGACATATGTGTCTGGCCAGCTGAGTCCTGTTTACATATCTGCACGTTCTTCACGACTGTGGAGAGAGCCGTCAACAATATAGAATTCACTGTTGCTCCCCATGATATTTTTCAGTCACTTGTATCTCATGACGTTAAGTTGGTAGCATGGGTAGCAAAAGGGTAGTACTACTGCTCAGCCAGTGGTGTAAGCTGAAGTGGCCTTGCCATTGTAAAAAGTGAATGCAAAGGTCAGAACCGTCCTTTAAGCAGAGCACCCATCTTGCATTCTGCTGAGAACACCCTGCTCTTCACAAAATCACAGGATCATTAAGGTTGGAAAAGACCTCCAAGGTCACAGAGTCCAATCTTTGACCCATCGCCACCTTGTCAACTAGACCACAGCATTAAGTGCCATGTTGTGGTTTCTTGAACACCTGCAGGGGTGGTGACTTCACCACTTCCCTGGGCAGTCCATAACAATGCTTTCCCCTTTCTTCCTGTATCTCATACTTCCTTCCTTCCTTAGTGATGGTCTCGGTAATCAGAAAAATTCCTGTGGACAACTGTATGTCCCCATGGGTGAGACTCTGAAGTTCCTTGCGTTGTTCTCTATGGTACTAATTATTAAATGAATGTAAAGGAAACCTATTTTGGACTGAGGAGTTACTTCATGAGCTACTAGGTAAATTTGTTACTGCTGAATAATAGTAAAAAGTTCACTTTCCTAGTTCAGACTAATATATTTTTGTGTATTTTTCGTCAAACTCATCAAAGGAGATTAGAGTTTCAGACACTGACATGACGAGCTCTAATGAGGAAAATAGGGCTAGAAAAGCTTTGAAATATCAGAGTTCACACTGTGCTTAGCAGAGGCTGACACAAGTCTAACATATTGATACACATAATTGAGTGTGGATTTTCCCAAAAAGTAGAGAGAGAATTTTAATAGTTTAAGAAGTCCCTAAAGCTATCTGGCCATCCTTGGCTTCCCGTTTGATCTGATGATTGGAGAACATAAGATTCTGTGAAGGAAGAGCTAACAGCCATTTGCAAGCTCAAGGTCCCCTCCATCCCCCCTCCTTGTGATCTCAGTATGAATATTACTCATTTGATCTGCTGCTTCTCGAGTTTATCATTCAGTGCCTGGACCTCAGCTGGGCTTAAAATATTTAGAAAGAGACTGCCTACAGATGTTGGAAAATCTAATGTGCAACTGCTTAACATAGTTGGTTTTCAGAGACCAAACCCCAGGGTTTAAAATGGTGTGGAAATACTGGAGTAGAGCTCCCATACTGAGTAAATGCCATTGTTAAACATTTATCAATAGACTCTCTTACACAGAACACTGATGACAGTTTAAGCTGTCCTTAGATGAATTCTCATCTTCCTGGAGTTACACAGTGTTGCACAGTGGGACAAGATGTGCTCCAGCTGTAAAAATGCTCATAATGCATAAATTTCCTTTTAATATTTTGCCCTAAAGTGCATCCCAGACTTTCTGAATTTGTTTTGTAGATGTTGCATCTTTTGTGGGATTTGAGGGTAGGATATTGTATTATTATTATTTTCTATAGTATCCCTTGTGTGTAATTAAAAGTAATGACTTCTAATGAGTCCCTGACCTACTCCAACCCACTAGGAGGAAACTCCTTAAATTCAAACACTTTATATTTCATACTTTCTATTATACACATTCTTTATTTGTCTCATCCTGTTCTACAAGGGCAGCAGAGGAGATCATAAACTGAAATACGCTTGCTGTAGCATATCTCATTAGACTTTGTGAAAGATACTTTCCGGCAAGAGATGATAGAATGCAATGCAATGAAGATTTAATAGTTTTTCAGCCCATAATCTGATACTATGCAGTTACATGTATTAACTAGAAAAAAATTACTTTTTCTAGGGTAATTCAGTTTATTCAGAGTACTGTAGTTGCTAGTCCATTTGACCACCAGCAATAACCTCAGAAATAAGTATGATAGATAATTAGTGTGTTTGTAGTGGAGGAAAAAAAATAAAAGAGAAAATCAGTAATAAGAGAGGATTTGCGTGTTTGATTTTACCTCCATATTTTTACAGGGCTAGTGATTGCATCTGTATGTGCAGTTTTTCACGTACCAGACCAATTTATGATGATTGTAGAAATAATTTTGTTGGCAACAAGCAGAGCTGCATTGATTCTCAGCTATGTCTTTCCATGAAAAGATCAATGCAGATAGTTGAAGTTGTATTCTGTTCAGGAATATGTCTTCAGAAGGTAACTGGCAAAAGACGTAAAGCCAGCAAAAGACTAATGGAAGAGGAAAGAAAGAATAACATAGTTTACCCATCCCATAGCAGAAGCATTTAGGTGTTATGGATCACTTCTGTCCTGTGTTTTTGGGCAAAAAATAGTGACAGCTGTGTTGCATTTTGTCACAAAACCCATATCTTTGCGCAAAACCCATCCAAATATATAGGGAACTTTCAAAAGATTTGAAATAATCCATCATTACCTCTTCATGATTAGGTGTATGAATTGCAAGTATCCTTGACAGAAAACACTATGATATTTACTGCAAATTGAATGACATGGAATATTTCAAATGGGTTTAAAAAAATCTTGCCTACCAAGAGAAATCAACTAATGACAGCTTTCAGATTATACTTTTGTTCTTTCAGTTTCCAAAGCTTTTAAATTCTACTAAACTTTTTTTTGGAACTAAATGCAACTTAAATTGTATTCATCTGGGTCAAAAGAATACTTGTTTTTTCTTGCTTTTGCTTTAGCTGATATGAACATATTTTTGAGGATAGGTGGAAATCTCTGGTAATTCCTGAACAACATGAATTGCTGGACACATGATAAATACTGTAGTTAAGCATCCTTAACATACAGAGCATCAAGTGTATTCATCTAAATAAATATAGCTTAGAATTGCCTCTGTTTAAAATAGAAGTGAATACATGAATATATCTACTGGGAAGATGTATTATTGTAGGTTGCTCCTCCTCATGCTAAAATCCATGGAAAGACACTGAATCAGAAAACGTCATATGTTGAAACTTTTCCATGATGTCAACTCTGGCAAAAGTATTTTGTAGTTGGTGGAGTTGGCAAGGTGTCGCCCTGTTCAGCTGCTCTGAGCATTGAATGGGGCATCTCAGATCTCCGAAACTTAATGTGTTACATCTTCCTGGGGTGATTTGATAACAGTTTATTCTGAAATTAATGAAGCAAGGTCCCTAGTGATGGCATGGGTGACCTATACAGTTTTTGTCATAGATGGAAGGATGAAGACATTGTAAAAGGTAGTTGAACATAAGATGCCCTAATAGCCATGTGTAGCCAAAATGATCGGAATTGTGGGATTTAATGAAAGACATGTAACTGTTTACAGTATTGTTCTACATGGTGTGTGTAGAACAGTTGAATCAATCTCCCAGGCTCTCTTTATTATCACTGGACTGAAATGGACAGTTCCAGGGTGCATTACATCTCCTCCTATAGTTAGTACAAAAAAGGACATTTTTAGTATTGTTTGTTATAGAATAAAATATTATTAAGCTTCATCAAACTCTTTTGAATCTTGAATGTCCTCCGTGAAAGACTTTGGGATTACTGTGCTGCAGGCTGGCACATTTTTCAGAAGCGAAAGCAGACTAAGGTGGTGTTCTGGGTGATGGCAATTTACAAATGTCACTAATAGCTAAAGTATAGTGACCTCAGCTCTCCTCCAGCAGCTGTTCAATATCTAGGCCCTGAGGATTCATTTCACTGCTGCGAAGTTTTTTGTACTCACAAAGAACTCTTTCTTGCTGTACAGAAGAGGGAATAAAAATCTTGAAAATATGAGTTCATTAATGATTAATAATAGACATTTAAAATTCAGAAAAATCATCAAGTTCAAAACATCTTTCCACAGTCAAATTTTATTTCAAGTACTTTTACTCCTTTGCAAGCATTATTAGTTGGTGGTAAAATCTGGTTGATATTGAGCAGTCATTAACTTAAAGTTTATTGACTGCAATTTTTTAGCTGCAATTATTACTATTTTTAATGTGCTATTGCTAATGTTCCTCAAAAAAAGGATTTCTTAGTGATTAGAGAATAGAAAAGAGAAATTAAATGCTAGTTGATATGTTAAAGTTAGTAGTGATAGGACTGAGTGGGTAGTGAAACTGAAGATGTGAGTAATTTAGGCCCATTACTCTGTGTGACTGTACAGCATAGTTACTGCTGTGAGTATAACTCATAATTTTTAATGTTCAAAATTACTGGTGATGCCCTTCTCAGGTATTTTTTCTTATGAGCTTAGCTCATTTCACTATCTGCTGTTCTGTTCCCAAATCATGCTTTCAGCTGAAAGACTGCACAAAAGAAGATGGCATTTGAAATGGCCAGCTGATGCTTTACATTGACAAATGTGGCATGCAAATGGATTTAAAAGCTCAATAAAAAGGGTTCTAGTGAACTGTTGCCCAAAACTCGGACAACATGTAATTGAATAGAAATCATACTAAGAGATGGCCCCTGTGGTGAAGACACTCTACTGGAAGGGCACAACTAAGTCACATTGCTTCCTCTGCCATCCTCAGTTCAACTCTTCTATGTTTTTGGGTTTGGATCCCAGCATTGAACCTACCAAACAGATCCAGCGTGATGCTCCTCTATGAACAGTCCTGGATTCAGGAGCAGTGGGTGGCTTTTGTTTTCAGTGTAAGAGGAACTGAAAGTGGTTTACCATTTGGCTGAAATAAATCAAAAGTTACATTAGCTGCCTTTGGCACTCCTGAAGTTGTCCACACCTTCTCCTTAAGATAGTACAAATCTGTTTTGTAGTAATGCTTGGTGGATATCTTGTACAGATGTTGTTCTCCCTCTGAGGAGTTGCCACAGTCACGCTTGTGGGCAGTCAGTTCTGAAAGTACCTGCTCTATCTTCTCTAATTCTTTGGGGAGGAGACGTTTTAGAAAAAGATTTTGCATCAGATAGGAGATATATATAGAAAAATCCAGGAAAAACAGACTCTTCCTTACTGTAGATTTTGGGTTGAATGTATCTTGAAGGATTAGGTGCTCTGCTTAGCACGTTTTTTGTTGTCATTTGTTTGTTTGTTTTTATTTTTTTTATTCCAAAATACTTAATTTTTTTAAGTATGCAGAACCTTTTTTTTTCTTTTTTTTTTTTTAATGCCAGTGACTGAATAATAGAATGACATGAAGCCACCACTGACTTAGATTAAAGGAATGAGGGATCATTTGTAGTTTCATCAGTAGTTCAGTATGTATCAGGATTAAGACCAGTATGTAACTACAGAGAGATATTGTTTCAAAAAATTACACTAGGATTTTTTGTTTTTTAAGAAATAGCTCAAGTCTTAAAAGTAATGAAAATAAGATTTCTATGAATTCCTCTGTATAATAATTTCAGA